CTTTAAACAACCCCAGCCATGTTTGGGCAAGCAAAAAGAAGAGGATGCTGTGCTTTTAAACACAGCTCCAGGTGGCTTTTTGGCCACATCAGGCTCCTGGTGCCATTTTGCTTTGCCACGCTGGACAGTGAGCACAGAGAAATGGGGGCCATTTTAAGGCACGTAGTGGTGGCTTCACAAACTACGGGGGAGGCTTCGCGAGCCACACTTCAAGGGGGGAAGAGCCGCTTGGTTGACCAGCCCTGATCCAGACTTTAGTAAGGCTTTTATAACTTGTTGGATAACTACTCTTTGGAAACAGTTAATGCTGCACAATCATGGTGGAAGGGCATAACTGATTCCACAGGCAATCAGTTCTGTGTCTGGTTTTCTTTCACATTTTCATTAATAATTTCAATGATGGCACAACATTGCAAATTATACCAGGCTCGAAGGGGCTGATAATTCAAAATGATCTGGAAAAACTGGAGATATGGGCTGAAGTCAATCGTATGAAGTTCAATAAGGACAAATACAACATATTCCACTTAGCTGACTGCCTGGGAAGGATTACTGTGGAAAGATATGAGGCAATAATGTTACATGTTTTTGTAAAAAAAGTAAACATTCTGCAAAAATGAGCAAGATTCTATATGTAAACCCCTGCATCTACCTCTGCAAAAATAATCTGCAGATATTGGCCTCCACAGATGCAACTACCCAAAGTGGATCTCTGCAAATTTGTAGGGATCTAGATGCAAAAATTGTATCTGCAGCTGTAGCTGCAAAAATGAGCCATGGCTATCTGTATCCACATGCACAGCTGCAGATACCTGTGGCTATAAAGCGGCTAGTTGTGGATTTGCAGGACTCCATCGACATGTAGTTGTGAGAGTGGCCACCAACAAATCTGTTGTGAAACGTTTACTCTACAAAACATATTCTAAGGATTTCTATTTCTCTTCTCCCCCGCAATGGGAAGTGTATATGAAAGTTGCGGATTGCTATTGTGACTTCCACATCACTTTATTCAAACAGTTACAAATTAGTGCAAATATCCAGGGAGCAAGGAATTGAAACTTCTTATTATTCAAGGCACTTCTGTTCTCTGGCCTCCCTAAACCCACATCAACTTTTTGTACCATGATAAAAAAACCCAACAACTTTGAAATGGCAGTTGATAGGGTGGGAAACAGTCTTTCTCTCACAGAAATAAATAGCCCCCACAGATTGTTCCCCTCTGCCATAGGGGACAGTCAGGCTCCCTGTACTGCCCTTGACAGTCATTGGAGAAGGGTGGGAAGGAAGGGGCAGCACAGTGAGGCACTGAGGTAACAGCAGCAGCAGGCAAACCTTTCTTTGAGCCCTTTAAGAGGCAAAGGGCAATGTCCCAGCCATCGGGACGGCAGGGGCTCTTAGCTGATACAGCACTTCTCCTTGCGACTGTATTTGCGCCGCCGCAGTTCCAGACCCCGCTCCAGCCGGGCATCTTCCTCTAGGGCTCTATGAGGAAATGCAAGTGGTAATTCAGGTTGGGTGCATCTAGACTGGCAAGATTTTGCGCAAAAGCATCCATGGCCAGTCTAGACGCAATTTTGCACAAGAAAGCCCCAATCGCCATTTTAGCCATGGGGCTTTTTTGCGCAAAACAGTTCTTCCCTGTCTAAACTGGCCCTCTTGTGCAAGTATTCTTGCGCAAGAGGGCAATGTAGAGGTGCCGCAGGGGTTTCTTGCGCAAGAAACCCCTGCGGCACCTCTACATTGCCCTCTTGCGCAAGAATACTTGCACAAGAGGGCCAGTTTAGACAGGGAAGAACTGTTTTGCGCAAAAAAGCCCCATGGCTAAAATGGCGATTGGGGCTTTCTTGTGCAAAATTGCGTCTAGACTGGCCATGGATGCTTTTGCGCAAAAGCATCCATGGCCAGTCTAGACGCAGCCATTAAGTCTACACTGTCACATTACAGCGCTGTAACTTTCTGGCTCAAGAGTATGAAAATACACCCTCTCCCTGCACACAGCAAATTACAGCACTGCAAAGCACCAGTGTGTGAGCCCCATGCTCCCAACGTTGTTAGCTACTCCCCTGGTGCACGTGGTTTACATACAGCACTGGGAGAGCTCTCTCCCAGCACTCCTGGGCTATGTCTACACTGGCAGGTTCTTGTGCAAGAAGTCTTGAGCAAGAACACATCCACATTGCCATGTCTGAGATGTGCTTTTGCACAAGAGCGCCCACGGCATTGTTGACGCTCTCTTGCGCAAGAAAGCTCTGATGGGCATTTTAGCCATAGGGCTTTCTTGCGCAAGAAACCCCTGCAGCACCTCTACATTGCCCTCTTGCGCAAGAGCTGTTGTGCAAGAATGCTTACACTTGTAAGAAAAGAGTGCAGCTCTTGAGCAAGAAGCCCTCTCTTATCTCACCATACTGTAAATCTTCTTGCGCAAGAGAGGATGGGCAGTGTGGACGCTCTGCGGGTTCCTGCGCAAGAAGGGCTGTACTTGCGCAAGAACCCGCCAGTGTAGACATAGCCACTGTGGTGGCTGCTTTTTAAACTTTTAAGTATAGACAAAGCCTCAGGGTGTCATGTCCAGAATGTCTTCTCCATGCCACCAAACCCATACCTGACAGCCATGCCAAGACTCACATTCTCTCCTTGATGTCCAGGTCTCGCACCAGTTCATCCCGCTGGTTCACCAATGACACCAGTTCCTCCAGTAGGAGCTGCTCCCGCCTCTGCTGGGCTTCTGTCTTGAGCCAGTCTGCATGGGTTGATATCTCAGCTAAGAAGCCAGAGCAAGAGTCTTCTAGACTCCTATTCCCTGCCCTTCTAAGTTACCCAGTCCTCACCTTCAATAGCCAGCATGGCTCTCAACTCCCGGCTCAGTAGCTCAAATCGTCTTTCCAGGTCCTGCTCCTCCATCCTGGGGGAAGAGAGAATTGGGAGGCACTCCCAAGGTTATGCATTTCCCTTCCTTCAAAGCCCAGCCACCACCCTCTCCCAGTTCACTCACAGCAGCTGCAGCTGGTCCTGGCGCCGGATCAGTGCATTCTTCTTATTGACCAGTGTGAACCACTCCTGGATCAGCTCCTCCTCCTGGGCCCGATTTGTGCCTGCCAATGGGGGGGAGGAGTGGGGCACAAGTGAGTACACTGCAATGGTGTGGGGAATGCACTGCACAGGACTGTACAAAAACCAGCAAGTGACACTTGCAACTGTCGGGCAGCACAGCAGTGAGTGTTGGGGGAGGGAGGGAACATGCACTAGTGTGTGTGTGAGTGTGGCCCAGCGATGGGGTTGGGTCACCCTCTGGAGAGTTCCCCAACTTTTCTCCACCTTTCCTAACTGCCTGCTTCTTTGTCCCATCAGACAGGATGGCAGATACACAGGGGCTGAAACTCTCAGGGCTTTGGCTCCATCCCCTCCCCCAATGGGAGGCTCCCGCTCTATAACATCACCAAGGGGATTCTGAGCAGTTCCAGAAGCTACCAGCAGGTGGTACTGAGAGCCAACCATGCTGGACATAGGACAAGGTCTGCAGGGTGGTTGTGTGTGTCTCCACGCAGCACCTGACTCCATGAAGAAGCGCAGATCCTTCTCCACCACCGCTGCCCGGGCATCAATCTGCTTCTGCTCATTCTCCAAGGCCTGCAGCTCGGCCACCACATACTGGCTGGTGTCCTGGAACCGCTGCCAGGGAGGTAGGAGGTCAGACCCACTGTCCTTTCAAGGGGAAAGGCCTCAGGTCCCATTCCCTGCCACCACCTCCCACAATTACCCAGCCTTACCGGAATCTCCTCATCTGCAGTGCTGCTCTCCTTGCTGGGGTCCCGGGATGGCTCCTGGGGGGTAGCACCAGGGGAGAGGGCTGTCTCTGGGGCGAGAAGACAGAGAGAGGCAGTTAGAGTGGGGTCCCTAGAGAAAGTTAAACCCCATTCTCCCACTGGCAGGGGGCAAGAAGGAGAGACCCCCCTTGTAATTATTGGGGTGTGAATTATTGGGGTGTTTGGTTTTTAATAAAGAGAAGTTTTGGACCATCACAACATCTCATGGCAATGAGATCCACCGCATAATTATGTGTTGTGTAAGAAAGTATTTCCTGTATTAAACCTATTGCCTATCACGTTCATCAGGCGACCCCATTTTTGTATGTAAGGAGAGGATGAATAAAACGTCTCAAGTCACTTTTTCCTCACCATTCATGATTGTACAGAGCAGCGGTTCTCAAACTTCATTGTGCCACAACTCCCTTCTGATCACAAAAATTACTGTACAACCCCAGGAGGATCATACAGAAGCCTGAACCCACCCAAGCCCCAGCACCCCAAGTGCAGGGAGGGGAACAGCCAAAGGGCTTCAGCCCCGGATGGGGGGACCTGTAACCTGAGTCCCATCACCCAAGGCTGAAGTTATCAGGGCTTTGGCTCCAACCCCAGGCCCCAGCAAATCTAATGCCAGCCCTAGCGACCCCATTAAAATGGGGTCATGACCCACTTTGAGGTTCTGACCTACAGTTTGAGAACCACTCGTCTAGACCTCTGCTCTATCCCCCATTAGTTGTCCCTTTTCTAAGCCTTTATCTTTTTAGCCTCCCTTTGTTTGGAAGCTGCTCCCTCATCTTGCTCATCTTTTCCGCTCTTGGGTGAACCATTTACAATTGCACCCTATCATTTCTGAGATGGGTCAAACAGAACTGGACACAGTGTTTTGGGGGGAGGGGTACCATGGATTTGTATAGTGGAATTACAGGATTTTCTGTCCTTTCCTAATTATCCTAACATTCAGTGAGCCTTTAGGTTCATGGCTACATACTGAGCTGAAGTTTTCAGAGAACTCTCCACCGAGACTTTCTTTGATGGTGACAGCCTACCATTAGACATGAGTAGTTGGAGTTATTTTTGCCTGTGTGCATTACCTTGCACTTATCAATGCTGAACTTCTTCTGCCATTTTGTTGTCCACTCACTCCGTTGTGTGTGAGACACACGCACACACCCTGCCCCGCTAACTCTTTCTAAATGTTTAATACAAGATTAAAGGGATTTTAATGGAGTATTTGCCCTGGGAATAAGCAGGCTGAGGTCTCTGAATTCCACACTTTGAACCTGGGTTAGCTCTTTAGTGTTGTGCATTGATAGGTGGTCTGCTAACACCTTGGACTCTGTGGGCTTGCACTGTGACACCTTGCTCTCCCCTAAGGATCCATTTTGCTCCTTTGCCCCCAGACCTGAGTGATGCTGATAAATAAGGCAGACCCAATGGAAACCTCGGGCTCACCTGGGGCATGCTGAGTCCTGGCAGAAGCAGGGGGTCCCACCTTGGACGTCATCATGTCTTCACGGTCATCCTGATGTGGGGAGGTGGAGAAAAGGGATTAGGAGAGGTTACAGCTCCCAGGAGAGTCCTTACCATAACAAAGCAGTCAATGCAGCACATCCCCAGGAGGCCCTACAATAACAAACCATCATCCACAGCCCTTGTATTTACGAGACACCCTACAGAAATAAATCAGTGCTCCCAGAGGATCCTACAATAACAAACTTTTGCCTGCCACCCTGAAAGACCTTGAAATAATACAATACTTGGGTTGTACATGCTAATTTGTGACTGTAAGGACTCATAAGGGGCAGCATATGCTGGGTTTAGAGTATCCCAGAAGGGAGGGTCTCTCATAACTATTAGGGGCTACGTAATGGGTTATGAACTACCCAATAACAAGACACGGCTCCTGGGAGACTCTACGTGGCCCCCCATTGAGAAGGAGAAAGACACTCCCTGCTGGAGCCTAGGGGGCCCAGGCTAGTACATTGTGTGCTCCAGCCCTGCAGGGAAGCAGTGGGGAGGCTGGAGCATCAGTGCAGGTTCCCCAATGCTGGGGGGGCCCTGAGCCTTGGGGGCTGGATTCAGGCAAGCTGGAGGCTGCATCCAGCCCCTGGGCCTTAGGTTCCCCACCTCTGGCCTATGACAACAATGCAGTGCCCCAGAGAAACCCTACAATAACTGAGCCCTTCCCTGTTCCTTACTCACCGCTCCAAGCCAGTCAGCCCTCCTTCGTGGTGTCTCCCTTGGGGGGCTGCCCGACTCTCCCTCGTCCATCGACAGTGACTCACTCTTGAGCCGCGAGCGCCGCTTCTTGAGCAGATCTGCATCACGCACGTGGGAGAAGCCTGACTTACTGCCATGGGAACGTGGTGGGGCCACAGGGCCCTGGCTGCCTGTGGACAGTGAGCGTTGCAAGGATCGCTCGGCCTGGGCTGGCGCCTCCCCATTCCGCACAGACAGACGCTTCAGCCGTGGAGGGGGCACGAGCTTCTCGTCCTCATTGGCTGGCACTTTCTCAGCATCCTCTGGGGCCAGGGGCTCTGCCTCTGGTTTCTTGGCTGGCTTGGACAGGGCACCATTGACCAATGCTTTTGCAGTATCCTTTGCAGCTTCGCTCTCCCCATCCTTTGGGGTGGGTGGCTCTGCCTCTGGTCTCATGGTTGGCTCGGCTGTAGCACCATTGATTGGCACTTTCCTAGAATCCTTTGGGACTGATGGTTCCACCTCTGATTTCACAGCTGTTTGGGATATGGCACTATTTACGGTCACTTTCCCAGCATCCTTTGCCTCTGCTGTCTTGACATCAGTCCCAGCATCTTTTGAGGCAGAAAATTCTGCCTCCAATTTCTTGGTCAATTCAGCTCCTCCTGTCATAGCTTTATTGGCCCCTGCCTTCCCATCATCCCTTGCAGCAAGGGTAGTGCTCCCAGGCTCCTCAACCCCTCTGGCAGCACCCTGGAAGCGCTCGGCATAGAAGCGGGCAGGGTCAATGGAGAAGGCAGGGTCCGAGTCAAACTTGCCCACCTTGTAGGTGCTCTCGCTGCTGTGGTTGGCGATCTGCACCACATTCAACTCCTGGCCTGTGAAGAAGGCCCGGATCTGGCACAGGTATGTCATGACAATGAGTTTGTCAGGCACTGTCAAGAATACCATGTCAGCTGGCTCCAGCACTCGTGAGATACCCAGGGAGGCAAAGCCATCGTAAGCCTGAGGGGAGAGAACAAATGGGGGGGGTGATCAACCCCAATATCTAGCCCCGCCCCCCCAAGCAAAGTAGAGAATCCAGAAGCTCTAATGCCCTCTGGTCATCCTTCATATGCTGTGATCACCAGGCCACATACATACCCTGCAGCCTATGCTCCCACATTGGGGAGTTCCTATCTCAAGGAGTCTCCCCAAACCAGAACAGCTCCTCTGCCCTCTCTAGGGGGGAGGGCTCCTGTTAATAGGAAGAGCCAGAGAATAGTAACTGGGGATTTGAATATTAGAAATATAGATAGCTGGCTCTCTGATGACTGAGAGCGCCACATTTAGCTGAAATCAAATCAGCAGGCCAGATGCCGTTTGCCCCAGGGTACAGAAGGAATTAGCTGAGGAAATTGCTGATCCACGGGCAATAATATTTGCAAACTCATGGGTGACAGGAGAAGTCCCAGAAGATGGGAGAAATGCCAACATAAAAATGAGTAGCTGGGGAACAACAGATCAGTCTGCCTGACTGATATCTGGGAGCAACTACTAGAGCAATCATTCCATTTGTGGATACCTGGAGGATGAAGGGGCAATCACTAGCAGCTGGCATGGATTTACCAAGAACAAATCATGCCAAACTAGCTTGATTTCCTTCTTTTACAGGGTAATTGGTTTGGTGGATGGGTGGACATAATGTGGTGGACATAATTTACCCAGACTTCAGCAAGGCTTTTGACACAGTCCCATAGGACATTCTGATATAGAATCTGGAGAAATGTGGGCGTGGCGGAACTAACATTAAGTGGATACATAATTGGTTAAACAATCACAAACGAAGAGACACTATGAATGGAATGAAGTTGGATTGCAGGGAGGTCTCAACGGGGGTTCCAAAGGGAACTGTTCTCAGCCCAGTGTTGTTTAATATCTTTATTAATTACCTGGATATATAGGCATAAAGATCTTACTGGTCAAATTTACAGAAGACACAAAACCGGGGGGGAGGGGTGGCCCATACTTTTTAGGACAGAGCTAAGATTCAGAGGGCTCTTGATAAAATGGAAAACTGGGCTATAGGCAACAAACTCAAATGCAGCAAAGACAAATGCAAGGTGTTACACTTTGGGAAGAAAAAACAAATGCCAAAATACAGACTGGGGGCTAACTGGCTTGGCAGTAGCACTGCTGAGAAAGATCTGGGAGTTGTGGTGGATCACAACCTTGACACAAGTCAGCAATGTGATGATGCTGCAAAAAAAGCAAATGCAATTTTCTGTTGCATTCACAGAGGTCTAGCATGCAGGTCACAGAAGGAACCACTGGTTAGGCTCCTGGTGGAGTATCGTACCCAATTTTGGTCTCCAACATGTAAAAAGAATTTAAAGAAACTGGAAAGGATCCAGAGGTGAGCAACAAAGATGATCAAAGAGCTGGAATGCGAGCTGTATGTGAAGGCTGAAGGGACTGGGTATCTTTAATTTAGAAAAGAGAAGATTGAGAGAGGACATAACAGCAGCCTTCAAATACTTGAAAGGCTGCCAGAAAAAAAGATGAAGAAAAGTTGTCTTTGCTTGCCATAAAGGGCCGCACAAGAGGCAAAGAGTTTAAACTATAGGAGAGCAAGATGTTGATTAAATCCCAGGAAATACTCCAGATTGTAAGAACCGTAGGACAGTGGGACAAATGCCCCGGAAGGATGTGGAAGTTCCTTTGCTGGAGGTTTGCAAAAGGAGGCTGGAGCCATATGTTATGGATGGTTTAGACAAAACAAATCCAGCATCTTGGCAGGGGGTTACACTAGCTGACCCTCGTAACCCCCTACCATTCTATGGTGAATTGGCTGCCATGGGCAAAGGCTGTGGACCTCTTGAGACATCTACAATACATAAGAATACTCAAGGAGCTGATAGAGGAGGTATCTGAGCCATTAGCCCTCATCTGTGAAATGTCATGGAAGTCGGGAGAGATTCCAGAAGACTGGAAAAAAGGGCAAATATAGTGCCCATTTCTAAAAAGGGAAATAGGAACAACCCAGGAAACTACACACTAGTCAGCTTAACTTCTGTGACAAAAACGATAATGGAGCAAATAAACAACAAACCCATCTGCAAACATCTGAAAGATAATGTGATAAGTAACAATCAGTGTGGATTTGTCAAGAACAAATCATGTCAAACCAACCTGATAGCTTTCTTTGATAGGATGACAAGCTTTATGGATAAAAGGGAAGTGGTAGATGTGGTATACTCAGATTTTAGTAAAGCATTTGATACAGTCTCACAAGGCCTTCTTATCAATAAACGAAGGAAATACAATGTAGATGGGGTTATTATAAGGTGGGTGCATAACTAGTTGGATAACCACTCTTAGGGTATGTCTTCACTGCACAGCTATTTCGGGATACTGGAGGTATCCCAAAATAGCTATCCCACGTCTACACCAGCCATCTATTATTTCAAAATATTTTTCAAAATAATGGGTGTGCTATTTTGGCATCCTGGTAACTCTCATTTCACGAGGGCTAAGGGATGTCTTGAAATAGCGCGTTATTTTGAAATTGGTGCTGTGTAGACTCACCAAATTTCAAAATAACCTATTTAGAAATTCAAGAAAAATAAGATACGCGATTTGCTAACGCAAATTGCATATCTTATTTTGAATTTAGGGTGCTGTTTAGATGCACCCTTAAAAAGTAGTTATCAGTGGTTCACAATCATGGTGCAAGGACATAACAAGTGGGGTTCCACAGGAATAAGTTTTGGGACCGGTTCTGTTCAATATCTTCATCAACAATTTAGATAATGACATAGAGACTACGCTTATAAAGTTTGCAGATGATACCAAGCTAGGACGGGTTGCAAGTGTTTTGGCGGATAAGGTCATAATTCAAAATGATCTGGACAAACTGGAGAAATGGTCTGGAGTAAATAGGATGAAATTCAATAAGGACAAATGCAAAGTACTCCACTTAGGGAGGAACAATCAGTTTCCCACATACAAAAGGGAGTGTCTGTCTAGGAAGGAGTACTGCAGAAAGGGATCAGGGGGAAGAGTGGACCACAAGCTAAATATGAATTAACAGTTTAACATTGTTGTTAAAAAAAAAAAAGCAAACATCATTCTAAAAGTCTCAGAGAGGTAGCTGTGTTAATCTGTAACTTTAAAAATGAGTAGTCCTGTGGCACCTTAGACACACACACACACACACACACACAAAATCATGAACTTTTGTAGGCAAAATCCACTTCTTCAGATAAGATGATCTTGAGATCTCAAGATGACCTTCAATAAACTAGGGTAATATAATACAAATATCAAGATAATTTCATCTGAAGAAGCAGGGTTTGCCCACAAAAGCTCATGATACTATAGATATATATTTTTTGTTAGTCTCTAAGGTGCTGCGGGAGTACTCATTGTTTTTAAACGTAATTCTAGGATGCATTAACAGGAGTGTTGTGAGCAAGACACAAGAAGTAATTTTTCCCCTCTATTCTGCACTGATTTGGCCTCCGCTGGAGTACTGGGTCCATTTCCTGGCACCACATTTCAGGAAAGATGTGGAGAAATTGGAGAAGGTCCAGAGAAGAGCAACAAAAATGATTAAAAGTCTAGGAAACATGACCTATGAGGGAAGACTGAAAGAACTGAGTTTGTTTGTTTTTTATTTAGAAAAGAGAAGACTGGCGGGGGACATGATAGCAGCTTTTAAGTACCTAAAAGGGTGTTACAAGGAGGACAGAGAAAAATTATTTTCCTTAACCTCTGATAAGACAAGAAAATGTAGGTCTTAAATTGCAGCAAGGGAGGTTTAGGTTGGATATTAGGAAAAACTTCCTACCAGTCAGGGTGATTAAACACAGGAATAAATTGCCTAGGGAGGTTGTGGGATCTCCATCTCTGGAGATATTTAAGAGCAGGTTAGACAGACACCTGTCTGGGATGATCTAGTGCTCTTGGTTCTGTTGTGATGGCAGAGGACTGGTCTTGATGACCTCTCGAGGTCCCTTCCAGTTCTAGTATTCTATTATTCTGTCTAGTGCTGGGGAGGAGCTGGTTCTCTTGGCACATGTAGGTACCAATGACACAGAGGTTAGCAGAGAAGCCCTGGAGGCCTAATTTAGGCTGCTAGGTAAGGGATTAAAGTCCAGGATCTCCATGGTAGCATTCTCTGCCACGTTTCCAGTTCCACACACAGGGCCAGTTAGACATGCAGAACTGCAGCATCTCAATGAGTAGCTGAGACAATGATGGGAGGAGGGGCTTAGGTTTATATGGAATTGGGGAACCTTTTAGGAAAGGGGGAGCCTATACAGGAAGAGCAAGCTCCACCTAAACCAAAATGGAACTTCATGGCTGGCATGTAAAATTAAAAAGGTGGAAGAGGAGTTTTTAAACTAAGGCCTGGGGGAAAGCCAAAGGTACAGAGGAGCATGTGGTTCAGACAGGCACATCCCTTAGGGGATTGTCTATTAATAGAGATTCTCTATATCCTAGAAGGGAGGAGAGACTAGATGTTGATAAAGTACAGGAGGGAACTGAAGAGAGTCAGTGAAAGGAAAGCGAGTTCAATTCAGTTACATCACATGAAGGCAGAGAACTGAATACTGACATATTGTATAAAGTGCTTATGTACCCAAATGCTAGAAGGATAAAAACTGGCCGGCCTGCTGCTAACTGAGGGTATTACTGTAACAGGCACCACAGAAACTGAGTGGAATGAGGACAACTAATGGGACTCGGTAATGCCAGGGCACAAAATAGACAGGAATGACAGAGTAGGTGAGGTGCTGGTGGGGGAAGGACACTACAGATGAAAACAAGTATTGAATCAAACATAGGGAAAATCTTAAATGCAGCAGACTGTCTATTTTATGGTAAATTCCATACTTGAATAGTTAGAGTATAGTAACAGGAATATACTGACCACCTGCCCAGGAAGGTGATGTGATTGTGAAATGCTCAGGGAGATTAGAGAGGCTACAAAACCAGAAAACCTAATAATAGTGGGGGGTTTCCACTATCCCCATACTGAATAGGAACATTTCTCCTCAGGGCCAGCTGCAGAGTAACATTTCTAGACACCATTAATTATTGCTTCTTGGAGCACCTAGTTCTGGATCCCCCAAGCGGAGAGGCAATTTACTCCGAAGTGCTGCACACGATCTGTGGGGGGAAGGGGATCCAAAAGAAACCCAACACTGTAGCATTTAATTTCACACAAAAATGAAAAGGTTAGTTAAATGGAAATTAAAAGGAACAGTCACAAGAGTGAAATGCCTGCAAACTGCATGGATACCTTTTAAAATACCATAATAGGGTTTCAAACTAAAGATATGCCCCAAATTAAAGCAACAACAAGAAAAGGCTCAAACATACTATACTAGCTAAACAAACAGAGTAAAAGAGGTGGTTAGAGACAAATGACATCTTTTAAAAATTGGATGTGGAAGGGTCATAAACTCTGGTGAATCAAGTGTGAAAGTGTAATTAGGCAGGCCAAAAAAGAATTTGAAGAGTAAAATATTTTAAGTACATCAGAAGCAGGAAGCCTGGCAAACAATTGGTGGGGCCAATGGATAACTGAGCTGCTAAGTCGACACTCAAGGAAGACAAGTCCGGTTCAGAGAAGCTAAATGAATGCTTTCCATTGATCTCTGCAGCTGAGGATGTGAGGAACATGGGTTGCAGATAAGGGAGGCTACCCCATGGTCTGTGTGTCCCTAAACCTCTGACAACTAGAAGCTGGGACTGGACACAGTAGGGATCACTTAGTAAATTGCCCTGTTCTGTTCACTCCCTCTGTAATATCTGGCACAAGCCACTGTCAGAAGACGGGGCACTGGGCTAGATGAACCATTGAGCTGAACCAGTAGCACCAGTCTTATGTTCTTACAGTCTTTTGTCCCCCACCTGCTGGGATCGCAAACTTACCAGCTTGTTGTTCTGTTTGATAGCGAGAGGGTCCAGGCTCTCATAATTGCTGGAGGAGGACAGACAGACATGACAATGATAGATCCTGCTCAATGAATGAGATCTCCGGAGTAGGGATGTGAATGAGTAGTCGACTAGTCGATTAACCGATACGCCTAAACTTATTGGTTAATCTAGTCAACTACTTGCATTTCCTCTCCCTTGCTGCCTCTGTATCAAATGGAGCAGTGTGGGGTGGCAGGCAGCCAGACCATGAGGGGAGCTGGCTTGATACAGAGGCAGCAACACAGACAGGGTGGCAGGGGGCTCTCCAGGAGTGGTGGCAGAGCACACTGGCTGCTGGTCCCACCCCCAGGGACTATCAAATAGTCGTGTAACCACTAAGATTTCATGCAGTTAGTTGATTATTCAATTAATCGATAGCTCACATCCCTACTCCAGAGTCTGCATCCCAACCCATCCTCCTACCCTGCCCCCATTTGCCTCTCAGAGACACTCCCCCTCCATGGTCTCCCCACCAACACTCACCTTTCCTGATGCCCCTCAACCCCGACTCACAGCCCCCTGCTTGCCCAACACCAGGCTTCCTCACTGCCTTTCAGTCTCAACCTGCAGCCCCAGGACTCACATTTTCTCTGGGTGAAAGTGGTGCAGCATGGCGCAGAATGCCAGCCCATTGCGCCAGGAGGTGGTGAAGTTGGTGACCCGGACACCCCGGTAGCCAGCTGTGACATTCTGGCACCATTCCAGTAGCGACTGGCTGCAACTGACCAGGCCTGGACTAGAAGCTTGGGGCTCCTCCTAAGAGACAAACAGGGGATGGGGTGGGATATGGGTTGGGGAGGCACTGGCTCATCGCACGCTAGGCAAAGCACCCCCACACTAAGCCCGCCCTAGCACTGGCCAGCCATGCAACCATACTGCCCTCCTAGGTCTCCCATATTCCTGCTTGCATAACCCCCCCACCACCACCTTGGCACCAGTACCTTCTCCATCCTCAGGGATCCCAACGCAGAGGCACTGAGCCACCTCTTTGTCCCAGGTCTGGGGCTGTACGGGACAAAGACCCAGCCAATCCCCAGTTTTTGCACCCTCCCATGCCCCCTGCTAGGCAAGGGGGTTTTCCTGGCTGGCCCCACTGTGCCCAGTGCGCACTGGCAACTGGGATCCAGCCACCCCCATGCAGCGCAGTCAGCAGGCCAGATGCTGGGCAGGGTCTGTGGGCCACCGGGCCAGGGGAAGAGATTAGCAAGGGGACTGCAAGGCCCTGGTGATCCATCGCCAAGTGTTATCCCCAGTCCCAATTAAAGGGAAGGAGGTAGCCCACTATGGATTTTATCCCCGCCACACGCCCCAATTAAAGGGGAGGAACTTGCTACTCCCATCCCATAGGATGCCCACCTGTGTCCCAGTAGTAAGACTGTGGTTCCATCTGTCCTTCCACAAACTCCACTCCCCCCTGCCCCACAGCCCCTAGGATTAGTTGGAAGCAAGGGCAAGCAACCATGGCAGCTGGCAGGGCTGGGGGCACAAACATTCACTGTCCCTACCTGGGCCGTCCCCTGCCCTACGCTATCCCGGGCAGCACCGCAGGGCGGGGTAGATGGCTCCCGCCCGGACGCCTGGGTCCCCTCGTTGGATGACGGGCCAGCACTCCTCTCCCGGGCAGAGCAGGTGGGCGGGAGGCTCAGGGTAAGGTGGCACTGTGAGACGTAGGGCTCAGCGGAGGGGGCTGGGGGGCCCGGAATGGGCACGTCCTGGGGGGATGTCGTAGTGAGGGCTGCAGCCCGTCTTCTGCTCCTTCCTGGGGCAGCATGCCCAGCCAGCTGGTCTGTGCAGAACTCTGAGTGCGATTTCTCCAGGGGGGGCCCTGCCCCGCTGGCATCTTCTTTGCTGGGCAGGGAGCCCACCGCCTCACTGCACTCCCTGGAACCCGCTGCCTCCTCTGGTCCAGCCCTCTCCAGCTGGTCTTCAACTGTGCAGGGGGTGGCACCCCTTGGAATTCTGCCATGTGTTCCTGGGCTCTCCGCGGTGCCCTCCAGCTGGGCAGGGGCCTCCAGAGACAGGGTGGCCACTGCTCCTGGCTGCAGTGCACTTCCACAGGAACTTCTAGATGCCTTTGCTCTGGCCCCCTCCATTCGGGCTGGGATTGCCCCCCACAGTCCATCTCTCGCTCCTGCCTCCATCACACTGCTGCACACCTCCCCAGCCCCCTGGCCCACCACTTCCTCTGACCGATACCTCCATGGCTTGGGGGGGGCCATCTGCGAGGGGGCATCACCTGCCCCACCATGCGCAACAGTCCTTGCGGAATCCTTCCCAGCTGCCCTTTCCGCTCCTGACCTCTCTGGCTGGGATGCTGCCCTGGGACGCTCTCCCACTGCTTTGCGCTGCTCCAGCTTGGGAGGCATTGCTCCAGGAGCTGGCTCTGCCACTGGGCTTGGCCAGCCTCCTTGCCCAGAATCCTCCTTGGCCGCCAGCTCTGTTCTGTGCCCCTCCAGCGAAGGCACAACTTCTACGCTCTGCACCCGCCTGTCTGCTCTGCAATTCTTCCATTCTGCGGCCTGCTCCAAGCTACCGATCTCCAGCTGGCCAGGGATCGCACCCAGGGTGCCTGATTTTGTCACCCCTCCAGATGCCCCCCTGGCACCCTCTTCCACCACATCCTCCGGCCGACACCTCCATGGCTTGGGGGGGACCACCTGAGAGGAGGCATCTCCAGCCCCTCCTTGCACAGCAGCATCCTTCCCACCTGCCCCATTTGTAATTAGCCCCTCCAGATGGGGCGCCAACCTGGGACCCTCTCCTGCTGCCCTGCCCCATTCTTCCTTTGGGGGCACCACTGCATAAGCAACAGCACTCCCGACGCTTGGCCGGCTAGTCACATCTGCTGCCACCTCCTCTCCCTTCCTGCTCCATGGCCCTGGAGGAAACCCCACCAGAGCTGCCACAGCCAGCAGCGCAGCAGCCGAGGGCACATCTGCTCCTAGGCCTCTCCTTGCCAGGCTGGTGCCTTCCCCAGCAATAATGGCAGGTCCTGGTGCGTCCTCATTGAGATACATCACTACAGAGATGCCTGGAGACACCGAACGGGCCCGCCTGTCCCTCTGGGGCCGAGGCAGTGGCTTTGGCTGGGCTGCCAGTTCTGCTGACCGGGGCCGGGCTAGCCGAGCCCTGGCAGGCACTGTTGGTGCAGGCAGAGAGGCTGTGGGTCGAGGGTCCTGCACTGACTCTGATGCCCCCAGTTTGAGCTGGGAGGAAGGTGGCTTGGTGCCTTCCCATCCGGGTCTCTGGATGGAGGGTACCTCAGGAGGTGGGGCCGTGGGTGCAGCGGGTTCCGGCAGAAGGGATTTCTTACGCCGTGGGGCAGGGACAGGGCTCTCCATCCGGGGCATCCAGATGTCACTGGGCCTGGATGGAGGAACAAAGGGGAACTGGTCTCATCCTGAGGGCAGAGCTGCCTCCTGGGGTGATTTCTCATCCTCCCACCTTGACAACAAAACCAGCCTTCTCGGCACAGGGACTGAAAGGCCAGGAACAGACACCAGCATCCTGGCTCTCCGCCCCACCCCCCAAACTCCTCTTCTCTAACTCCACCTCTCAGATCCTGGAATGAAACCCCGGAGTGGTGGCTGGGAGGCCCCCGCCACACACTAGACTAGACCCCACTCTCCCTCGGGCCAGACCACAGCTAGCGCCCCCTAGAAGGGACAGGCCCCATATTCCATTCCCTGCCCCACCCCCAAACTTCCTCCTCTGTTAATCTGCTCTGTGCAGTAGAGAACAGCAGTTTCCTGCTTGGCCAGCTGCATCCCAAGCCCCACCCCTCTGGCACGGGGCAGAGCTGGCAGCCCAGCTCCCTTCCTGGGCAGGGGAAGTACGGCTTCCTCCTTGGGTGGGAACCCGCACTCGTCCTGAGCTGGGGAGGGGAGCGACTGTCAGACGCTCCAGAAGGCAGAAGCGAAACCCACACAAGGCCCCGGGTTTATCCACGATCAATCGAGCATTAACCTTTTCCCACCACACTGTCATCACTGGCACCCCCTGCCTCCTCTTCCAACCCCTGCCTGCCACAGCAAGGCTAGAACCCAGGAGTCCTGCCTCCCAGCCCCCTCCTCTAACCACTAGCTCCCATTGCTCTCCCAGAGCTAGCGTAGAAGCCAGGAGTCCAGACTCACCTGCCCTTGGTATCACTCCCTGATGCCGGCCGCTCCATCGAGGCAACTGCTTTCTCCTCCTCTTCAGCCCCAGGGTTGCCACCACGTTGTCCCATCTCCTGCGAGGGGCCTGTGCCTGGCTTGTGGGCCTGATCCAGGGCTTGGGTCCCCGTCTCCCCCTTATCGCCTGGTTCCAGAGCCCCTGCAGTTCCCATCAGGTTCCCACCTGCTGCCATGCTCTGCCCAGCCCTCCCGGCCCTGCCTGCACCACTTACTGGAAGGGTGCCCATCAGCACTGGTGGAGGGGAGGGTGCTGCTCCCTGCAGGACCAACTCCGGGATAGGGCCGGGGACTTCCTGCTGGGGGGCATCTGGGACGTCAGCCACTCGGACGGCTTCCCCCTTGGCAGAGCCTGCAGAAGAGAGGGTCCCAGAAGTCAGAGATGAGGGCAATGGAAGTGGAGGACAGCTACACTGCAACTCCCCATATCCCTGACCTGGGGCGGCGGGAGTAAGCTCTGGCCCTTCCTCTCCTCAGGTCACTAGACCCCACGCAGTCCCAGAGCTGGAACAGAACCCAGCTGTCCTGATTCCCAGCCTCTACCCCCCACCCCCTCCCAGAGTAGGGGAGGGAACCATGGAGTCTTGACTCCCAGCCGCTGCTCAGACTATTAGACCCTGCTCACCTTCCAGACAGAATCCAGGAGTCTTGTTGCCCAGCCCAGGGCTTTTGCACCCACTGTTGATTTACCTGCCTCCAGGGGCACTCCATGAGGATTTGCTCTCCCAGCTGCTGCCCTGCTGGTCCCCGGGGCCGAGGGATTCTCCTCCTCTTCAGCAAGTGTGTTGAGCTCTCGCGATGTGTCTGGAGGGAGGAGGCAGGGAGAGAAAGAGAGAGAGATGTAGCAGTTGCTGCACGTTCTGCGCCTCACCTGCCCTGAAGCCCACTCGGCGGGATGGTCCTACCTGTGAAATAGCCCAGCAATATGGTCTGAATGAAACCTACAGTGCAGGACACAGATGGACAGCCAGGAAGGGATGGAGACAGGCAGACAGACAGGAGAGAGAGAGAGAGAGAGAGAATAACCAATCCCAAGACAGCACAGCTACCCCAAGGAGCGGGGACTGAACCGCCAGCCCTGGGGAAGAGACTGGGCCCGGTCACTGTCCCAGCAAAGAGAACCCTAGTGAGCGCCCTCTGCTGGAAGGCACAGAGACATTAGGAGCTGCTTTCAGGGCCACAGCAATAGCGGGGCCAAGGGGAACCCCACCAAAGGCAACCAAGTGAATCCGCAATCATGAATGGACAATAGGCTAGGAGTGAGGGGCATGGGTTGAGATGGCAGGGGCTGCAGATTGGGAGGAGCACGGGCAGGGGGGACTGGCTGGCTGACCCCACCTGTTGGCCCTGTGCCTTGGCCACTCTTGTCCTCCTGCTGCCCCCTCCTGGCCGTCTCGTCATCTTCATCGCTGTCAGCGAAGTCATCCAGGTTGCCGACGTCGCTGGGTTTGACGCTCATGAGGCTGGCCAGGCTCTGCATGTCCTCGTCTCTGGGGCAGGGCACGGTGTAAGGAGGGGATTTGCAGTGGGGGCTCAAAGCCCTATTTCCCTCCCTCCCCAGCCTGGCATGACTCTCGCAACCATTCGCACTGTCCCTCCAGAAGCATGGGCCTTTCCTAAGCTATGGGCTAGAGCAGCTCCACCCTTGCCTCTGTGGCCATTACAGGCAGTGGAAGGGACTGTTAACGATGCACCAATTGTGGCCAGGTGACAGTACGTCCTGCTATTAAAAACTGCCAAGGTGGCCCCTCTAAAGCAGGCTCTTCCTCAACAGTGGTGCCAGCGTGGCTGCCTCGACAGACCCTAGAAATAAGATGACTGCCTACATACCCTCTTCCTCCTCGCTCATGCCAAGATGACTGCGAACGCCCCTCTCTTCCCGTAAAGCCATGTCAAGATAGCTACCTACATCGCCCTCTTCCCCTGCAGTTACGCCAAGTCAGTTGCCTCCTGCACTAAGATGTCCGTAAAGAGCACCCACCCCCAGCCAAGTCTTTTGCTCCTTGTCCAGCCCCTCTTTGGGCCAAGCTCCTGCACTGCCTACACTGCTGGCACAGCACAGAGAGAGACATGTGAGCCAAAACTCATCCCTGCCCTACCTTCTGCCAAGGGACACTCCTGTTCCCAGACAGGCTTGTTTCCATAGACCCCACTTCACTGACAGAACTCACGTGGCTTTGCCCTCACGCAGGAAGACGCAGGACAGCGTGAGCTGCAGCGTGGCAGACACCACCTTAACAGAGCGTGGCTTCAGCTTCAACTTGAGCTCAGCCTGGGCAGGCGTGGGGCGGGCAAAGCGCTGAAGGTTAACATCGGCCGAGGCTAGCACCTTCCGGTGTCCCTTGGACTCCTGGGAAGAGGAGAGAGTCCTGACTCCCAGCCCCTCTTACCCTAAAACCACTAGATGCCACTCCACTCCCACAGCTGGGGACAGAACCCAGGAGTCCTGACTCCCCGGCCCCACTCTCTGTAACCATCAGACACCACTCCCATGCTTAGAGATGGGTCTAGAACCCAGGAATCCTGATTTCCCACCTTCCCTCAGCAACACTGTTCCCTTTACAGACTCTGTGGTGTTAAATGGCTCCAGTGTTCCGCCTGTGAGCTAGCAAGCTTTTAGTCCGAACTGGGAGAGGGCACGGAGAGGGTGCCCAGGGCTCTGGTACACTCACCATAACTCACCAAAGCGTGACAAGTGAGGTCTCTACTGCAAGCCAGTAGCTCATTAGTCATCATGACCTCTGCAAAATGTACATTCCCTACTTAGGGTAAGTTCTGGGAATTGGGGCTGACACCTGAAGTGAGGAACAGTGGGTGGTAAGATGCTTCTCCCCTGCATGTAGCATGTCCCACATGACTCCCAGCAGGGACCTTATTAGCTTTACTAAGCCTGAAACTACAAGAAAGCTGCAGCCAGGGAAACACAAGCAACAGGGGCCTCGTGTTTTCATGTTTACGAGCCAAGGCAATGGAAGTTGGGGCATAACAGGAGGCACAGAGGTACATAGGAGACAAGCTGCAAGCCTATTTCTCTTGTGAACAGAGGAGCACGGCCAGCCTGGTTGTTATGCACTGGGAGGAAGATTTGTGGGGAGCAATTCCTGATTAGATGGAAAAGTATCTTGTTAGGTAAGTTTAGGCCCAAAAAGGCAAGTTATGAATTTTTTGTAAGCTTCCATTTGTTCCCAAGACCTTTATTTGCTGCTTCGTGAGGCTCCAGTCTAATTGACCTGAGGACTAGTTTCATTAGACATATGACGTGCTATCTTCTGTACCCCGGGCAATGTATCCATGAACATTGGGAGTGTCCAGCAAAGCAGAGGGGGGGGCTCCAGTGCCCCAGTGCATAAGAGGTGCATGGGGGAGGGAGACAGACAGGTGTCCATGGGATGCAGGTAGAGCCCCAGTAAGCTGGGAGGGGGGGGTCAACATGGGGGGCACTCTTGCTGCCTGTGGCTGGCAGAGGTGGGTCCCGACAGGCACAGACAAAAGTCCATCACGCTAAGGACAGGGGTAGCGAGGCACTTTCCAGCCCTGTTGCCCTTGGGGCATCATTCCACCCCAGAGGAAGCTGCATCTGGCTTTCCTGGCAATGGAACACCCCATGACCTTGCTGGCTGTCGTCCAGCCTTGAGTTACCACACTCTGCTTATCCCAGGACGTACATTCTCAATCACAAAGGTCCATTCCTTATCTTCATACTCATCCACATGGGGGTCCTGTGGGGGACAGCAGAAGGTGAGCGGGGCTTTGCACTGTTTGTTGCACAGGACGGGGGAGTTCTTCACAAGGGTACCAGTGTGTGCATGTGGTTATACGAAGAGAGGCCTGAGACTGCATGTGGTGGTGTGCAGATGGATGTGTGACTGCAAGTGCAAGTGCCCAATGTGCACCCTCAGGTACACAGAGGAGTGCACAGGTACACATCTATGCACGGAAGGACTGTAATCATGAGCTGCTGTGTAACTGTGAGTGGGAGAGATGCATCACTGCTTTGGTGCAAACACCAGCACAGCCACAGAGCTGCACATCTGGGTAAGAGTCACTCATGTGCTGGTGTAGTCCTTGTGCCGGCATACACAGGCCAGTGTAAGAACACACGTGTCTGTGCAAAGGGGTACATGAGCATGTGTGTGCAGCAGGGTGATGGTGTGCTTGTGCAAGCAGAAGTTCCTTACCCGGTATAGCGTCACCATTATATCCACATTCTCTGGCACCATCCAAACGACCATCCCCCGGTACGGATTCTTGATCCCTGGCTGCCAGCTGTGTGCCTGCAGAACACACCCAGCCAGATCAGAGCTGGTGCCCTTTAGGGGAACAGCCACATGTGCCATTCCCAGCCTCGAGCCAGACAGTCCCCCACCGTGGGGCTGGATCACAGCTGGTCCCACTACAGGGAGGGAATCCTGAATCCACCCACCTTGGAGCAGACGCGTCGGTTCCTCCTGGTCCAAACCACAATAAGCTTGTCTGGCTGCCTGCAAGGAGGAGAGAACAAATGAACAAATTAGGAGGGGAGGAGAGGAAGAGCAGCTACAGTCCCAAGGACTCTTCCCATTGGGATCATGGTCGTGGGTGACCCAGGTCCCAGCCCTAGCCCCAGCGTTTGCCCCTCACCAGCCATGTTCTTCATGGAAAACCTTCCCCCCTTGGCACCTCTGCTAACCCCCAGACCTGCCCCCTTGTGCAACTCCATCTAACTCAGTATCCTCCCCGCTCCCTGGATCTGACCAGTTGTCCCTCCACACAGAAACCCCTCTAGTTAGAACTAAAGTCAGGAAGCCCCCAGCTCAAGGAAGGGGGCCAGTATGTTAGCCTAGAAGGGGCTGGGAGCCAGGACTCCTGGGTTCTGTCCCCAGCTCTGGGAGGGAAATGGGGGCTAGAGGTTGGAACACTACTCCTAGTTTGGGCTGCCCACAGATCAGCATATTGCAGAGCTAGGTGGGGAGGGTTTTTATCTTCCTGGCCTAGCCACTGAATGTGTGTGGAGAGGTGGGTGTGGCCCAGCCTGAACCCCCTGCTCTCCCTACACAGGGTGAGAGACACTGGGGCAGAGAGAAAAAGATAAGGATTGGAAGAGCCTGGAGAGAAAAATACGCCGAGGCATTAGGTTCAGTGCTGACTGCAAGAGGCATACACCCCACATTGACCTCTGGCCTCTGCATCACAACTTCCCCTAGCACCGCACTGGGACATTGAGGTCAGCACTGACTGGCAGGGGAGAGCCCCCACACCGAGCTCCCACCTTGCCCCCTGCTGCTGTCTCCCAGGTAAGGATGTAAAAAGTTGTTTAAAAAGTTAACTGTGTAACTGTTAAAAATCTTAGTGGTTACACACGCTGCAGGCTCTGCAGTTGGCTCCCCAGGAACAGGCTGGCAGCCCCTTTCAAGTCCGCTCCTGGGGAGCCACAGTGTACAACCTGCGTGGGGGTGAGGCAGGTCGATCCCACTCCTGCCTGCAGTGTTCTCCCTGGGGCTGGAGCACCCCTTGCCCAGGGCAGGCAGGCAGCTGCTCCAGCCCGTCCCAGTTAACTGTTAACCTTTTACATCCCTACTACCAGGTCCAGATAGGATCAGCCAGCCCTGGCATGGTGCAAACCAGTGAATCACTTTGTAGCCCAGAGAAGCTGAGTTTGCCTGGACTCAGGGCAGACAGGGTGTTTACTCAGGAGGCGTGGGGCTAAGATAGCAGGAGTGTGCGGTAGGATCCCAGCCCTCTGGGCCAGGAGTCTGAGGCCTCTGTCATGGTCCTTGAGAAGTGCTGGGCACCCCTCCCACACACACCCAATGCTCCTGCTTCACCCCTTGACGTAAGAGCTTCTGGCTCAGACATTTTGCTCAGTATCTTTCACAGCCACATGGGCCGAGCCCTGGGGTGGGGCTGGCTGTTGCTTGCACTCACACACCCTAGACGCTGCAGCGCTACAGGCCTTGTGGGAAATCGAGTCTAGGAGTTAGAACAGGAGAGTTGTGCAGGCGTCAGGAATCCTGGTGTTATCCCCAGCTCTGGGAGGGGGTGGGTTCAGAGGGCTAATTCAGGAGGAGGGAGGAAGGGACTGGGAAACAGGACTCCTGGATTCCATTCCTGGCTGTGCCACGGATCCTTTGCACAACCTTGGGAGAGTCTGTGTGTGTCCCAGTTTGCTATCTCCCTAGCAGGGTTGCAGACAGGACTGCGAAGTGGTGTAATTCATTACTGGCTGTAAAGGCTGGAATTCCTGGCTCGGAGGCACCAGGGAAGAGCTGAAGGTTTCTTGTTATTGCAAAGGGACATTCTGGAAACTCTGAGTATGCAGCCCAGCCCTGGCTGATTGGGTCGCACTTCCAAAGTATGCTTATACATGAGGTTACCTCAGTTCCTCGGCAGCTTCTATGCACCAGCCTGAGATGCACCCACCTCTGGAAGAGGCACGGGGCTGTTTATCCAAGAATCTCCCACCCAGGGCTGAGATGCAGCTTCCTCTGGGGTGGTGTGCAAGGGCTATTAAGGGGGTGGGGTGCTGACAGTGAGTTTATCACATGGTAACACTGCCAACTGAATTTGACTCACTAGTTGTCCAGGGGGTTTCTGGCTACAGGACAGTAGCTGGCAGAGTAGGGGGGTGTCACTGCTGCTCTAGCTGCCTGTGAGCTGTGGGAGGTGGGATTTCTGACCAGTTGAGTAGGGTTAATAGCAGCTCACTTTGTTCATTTACATCCCCCTCAGCATCACAACTCACAACATGAAAGAAAACTGGGAACATCCTGACAGCAAGTGGATGCAAGTGAACAGGGCTCAGCCTCCTCCAGATGCACCACACAGACGTTCCAGTACTGCTGATGCCCCTTAGTCCTGACCCGTAGTCCCCTGCTGTCTTAGCTCTGGCTCCCAGAAGAACTTGGCTGGCCTGCAATGCTATGGAGTCTACTGGCCAGCTCCTCGCCTGTCTGTCAGTCATGGCCTCGCTCCCCTACCCCATGCTGTCACTGATTCCCAGGGTTCCCCTTCTCCCAGAATCTCAGCCAAGGCCCCTCACCTTCAACCCAAAGACCTCACTATGCCAGGTCAATAGGCTGAGCTTGCCCAGTTGCCCCAGAGCAGACGGATGGGACCATCCAACCTGGCACACTCACAACCACCCACCCAGGAGTTTCTAAACATCGTGCTAGCCAGAATGTCTGAGCCCTGTCAGGACACCCAGGAGGCGCCCCTCCCCCACCCTAACACTGTCATAACATTGACTGTTGCAGGGTATTCTTAGCTCTTGTATGAGGTGGAAATATAAACACACACACAGCTTGTAGCAAATCCTTAGTCCCAGCTCACAAGCCCTCCACAGCTCAGCTACAACTCAGCCCTGGGCTCCCCCACCTACAGTTCTGCTGGTGCCCCTCACTCCTGACTCTCAGCCCCCTGCCATCCCAGCCCTGGGCTCCCTACAGCTGCCAATGCTCCTCACTCTCAAGGTGCAGCCCCCTGCAACTCCTATCCTGAATCCCTGGCCAGGTGCATTGCTCTGGGACCTGGGCCAGCTTACAAACACCTTCCTCACTCCTGGGCTTGTGGCCAAGGGGCTAAATTTAGCCCTGTCAGGAGGGGGGTTGGAGATCACAGCATCTCTGCAGGTGCTGAGCTAAATTGGTGTCCTGCTAGGAACCTGATACCCCCCCAACCACAGAGCTGGATCAGAGCAGCCAGAGCCCGAGGGCAGGGAGATATCCCCAGGCTGAGGAGAGAAGGGCTTTAGGCCCTAACCCGAGATTGCAGTGGGGGAAATCACTGGGGCATGGCCATAGGAGAGGCGGGAGAAGCATGCAGGGTGGGGCCAGCGAAAAGGGAGAGGTCATGAGGGGGAAGAGGAGGGGCATCTGGAAAGGGGAGGAGGCCTTGAGGAAAGAGACTGTGAGGAGGAACCACAGGGAGAGTAGATGGAACACTTGGGGGAGGGCATTTGAAGGGAAGGGGAGGAGTCTGAGGGAGATGAGCAGGAGTTTGAAGGAAGAAGGGAGGTGCCTGGGGAGGGCACCCTGCTGGGATACTTCTGCTTTGCAAGCGCCCCGGTCTAATCCTAAAAGAGGCCTCAGGCCGTTATCCTGCCACCAACCCCACCTCCAAACAGGCCCACCCTTCCTACAGTCCCTCTGCCCCTCTCCCCCAGGTCCCTACCCCTGCTCTTCCCCGTCTCTCCTGTTTCTATTTTTAGCTGCTGCCACTAAATATTTTACATTTTCCCCCAATCCCTTTTAAGGTAATTTTAGTTAAAAAATATCCCAGGCTCCTCCCATGCTGGCTGCTTCTATTTCCACAGAGATGGTCCAGAGCTTGGGAGTGGGGAATCTCTCCACTCCGAGATTCCCCCTAAATCACAGGGGTGTCTCCAACTCTAGCCACCCTCTGTCCCCCCAAAACAGGAAATGAAGAGCTTCCCTCATCTCTATGTTCTAGATAATGCATTATACTTCTCCAGTCCTGTCATAAACCTAAAAGAGCCTCACCACCACCTGTCACTCCCTAGGATCTAGTGCACATTCTAGAGCCTTCCAGCTCCTGTCCCTCCTCCAGGCCTGGAGAGACGCCCACCTTCTGCCAGTCCCTGTATTCTAGAGCACGTTCTCCATTCTGTCTCGCTCCCCAGCATGGAGGGGTGTCCCTACCTCCATCAGTCCCTGAATCCTAGGTTCAGCTCTAGATTCCACACATACACACACCCCAGGCCCTGCATGGACAGGGAAAACACCTTCACAGAGGGCACAGTCCCCCTCAGACATCACATCCACCCCACCAAATCTACAAATTTCCAACTCCACAACAACCATCTCTGTGCCTCAGGTCGCCCCTTTCTGACCAAAGGCCTGCTAGGGGCTGGAGTCAGCATGGGGTGGGAAGGGAGATTTGGAAACAGGGAGCATGGGGGTGGAAGCAGGAACATGGGGCCAAAGGAGAAAGGAGAGACTCAACCACTATAATCTGGAGTTGTGGGGATCGACCCCTTTCCACCCTCAACTCTCCCCCTGCCCCAACTCCCACATTTCCCCACCAGGACCACAGTGTATGTGTGTCCTGTCTTCCAGCCTATCCCTGACAGCTCCACCCCAGGACAACAACCTGTCCTGGGCACCTCTCACTCAGTCACATACACCCCAACAATATTTTGGGAGCTCCATCCCTGTGGCTAAAATAGGAAAAACCCATCCCAGAGTGAAACTTCCCTGCACATAGTTGAACTGCCCCCATTGGAACTGATGGTTGAGAAGTGTGTCCTGTCTTCCAGCCTATCCCTGACAGCTCCACCCCAGGACAACAACCTGTCCTGGGCACCTCTCACTCAGTCACATACACCCCAACAATATTTTGGGAGCTCCATCCCTGTGGCTAAAATAGGAAAAACCCATCCCAGAGTGAAACTTCCCTGCACATAGTTGAACTGCCCCCATTGGAACTGATGGTTGAGAAAGAGTTAATATCCACCCCCCTGCGCCAGACGTGCCTGCCCCCTCCCCTCCCCCCAGCCAGCTGGATTAATTAACTCATGTCAATGAACAAAATAAGAACTTGTTTCTCCCTTTGACAATCCCTCCAAGATCCCCCAGAAGACTCAGCCCCTCATCCTCCCATTATTAATTTCCCTCTTGGAGATGGAGGGGCTCCACCTATGCCCATCTCTGCCCCATAGTTATAATGGGGTCCCCCTCACCCACCTCTGCCCCTTAGTTATACTGGGGGCCCCTGTGCACAGCTCTGCCCCTTAGCTATATCGGGGTTCTCCGCACACACTTGTGCCCATGCCCGGCTGAGCCGTCCCGTCCCAGCCCGGGGGGCTGGCCCCACTCACCATTTCTTGGTGCACTCCACCATCAGCTCCTGGTAACAGGCCACGAAGTGGAACTTGGCGGCGCGTTTGCCCACGCGCTGGAGTCTCTTCCACGCGGAACTCATCGCGGCTCGTGGCGGGTCACGCGGAGCAGCCCTCGTCCGACCCGAGACAGTCGCCCCACAGGTTACGGCTGCCCCCGCAGCACCGGCCGATGCCCCGCGATGCCCCTCGTGCCGGACCCCAACGCCGCCGGAAC